ATGGCAACTCCACTCATTCAAACGCCCAGGCTAAAACTCCTGCGAGCCGTCCTTGACTCCGCTTTCTCTTTCACACTCCACATCCCAACTGTGGGCGAATCCCACTGGCTCTATCTAATCATTACATCCAGTTTCAATCTTTCTGCTAACACCCTATCACCATCATTTCTCATTTCTCACCTAGATTAGTTACCACTTCTTACCTGGTCTCCTCATTTCCATACTTGCCCTCTTACACAGTTTTCTCAGAAACCTAAATGACCAGCCATTTTGCTCAAGAATGTGACAGTCTTTACAAGGCACAGAAAGGCTGACATGTGTGACACCCTCTCCTCCATTATTTGTCCAACCTCCTCTCCTAGCACACTCTCCTTTATCCACTCTGCTCCAGCCTTACTGGATTCCTCATTACCCCTTGACTGTCTCAAGCACACTCCAACTCTGGACCTTGGCACTGGTTATTCTGTTTGGAACGTTCTTTCCTTAGGTATCCACATGGTCACTTCTTGTATAAATCAACTCTTTTTCTCTAATTTCACCTTCTCTAGGAGGTCTACCCTGATCACCCTAGTTATAATCCCCCCTATTCCTGATTCCCCTTATCATGCTATAGTTTTGCTTAAATAGCATTAACCATCTTCTAACGTACTATATTATGTATTGGGTTGTCGGAAAAGTCATGACATGACATATTTTTCCTATGTTTTTCGTTGCAAAAAATGCATCATGACTTTTCCAACAACCCAATATTTGTCATTTCTACTATGGCCTCCCTCATCTGAATTTAATCTCCATTAGAAGTGGGATTTTTGTCTGTTTTATTAAGTCACGTATGCCCAGCATCTAAAACAATACCAGGCACAGGGTAGGCAATCCATAAATACTTGCTGCATGAACAAATGAAGAATGAGAGGAGAATTAACTGAACAAAAGGAAAGACTATGCTGCCATTTAAGAAGCCAAGCCTCTGTTTTAAATGTCAAACCCTCATAACAACTAATACTTGATACCACCACTTAAATGTTTAAAAACTAACCTTTTTCCAAATATTTATTCTCCATTTCAGCAAATGGCCCCACTATCTACCTAGCTGCACAAACTTGAACCATAAATCAGCCTTGTTTGACTCTCTCACCCTCTCATATCCAATTCATCAAGAAGTCCCATCAATTTTAACATAAACATTCCACTCAAATTCATCCACTTCTGTTTATCTCCACTACTAGGACTCTAGACCAAGCCACCAGTCTCTCCCCTGTACTATTTCAATGGCCTATTTGTGCTCTCTGTTTTATTTTCTTGTCTTTTTCAATCCATTTCCTAAATAGCAGCAAAAATGTTCTCTGAAATGTAAATTGGGGCCGGCCAAGTGGCTCAGTTGGTTAAGAGTTAGCTTAAGAGCACGCGCTCTGAGCAACAGGGCCATCGGTTCGATTCCCACATGGGCCAGTGACGCTGTGCCTGAGCTGAGCTGCCAACAGGTGGCAGGATGGCTCAGTTGGTGAGAGCACATGCTCCTAACAACAAGGTTGCGGGTTCGACTCCCACATGGGATGGTGGCTATGCCCACCCGCAACTAAGACTGAACACAGCACCTTGAGCTTAGAAGACAAGAGCTGCCAATGGGCAGCCAGATGGCGACTGGCGCTCTCCACAACTAAGACTGAAGAACAACAATTTGGTTGGCCTCCCTCCCTAATTCCCCAACACTGTTCACCTTCCCCAATTAAAAAAAAAAAAAGTAAATTGGGTCATAATACTCCTCTGCTTAAAATCTCAAAGTCTCACCAAACCTGGTCTACATCTCAACTCCATCTGTGCTCCTCTACTTGCTCATTATGCTACGTCCACAAAGGAGGCTGCAGGTCCTCCAACTGTCCCATTTTTTACTGCCCCCGGTCTTTGCACACGCTGCTCTCACTTCCCTCCACTCTTCATCCTTCAGATCTCAGTAAAATCAATGCTGTCTCCTGTTTAAAGTAGCACTCCCCCTCTTAATCTGTCCCTCAGTCCTTGTTTGTTTCCTTCGTAATTTCTAACAGTTTGCTTACTGGTTTTCTGTTTCTTCCCCATTACAACAGAAACTCCATGAGGGTAGGAACCACAACAGCAAGCGTGAAAGGGGGGAGGGAGTGCTTCATTGGAATGTCTGAGAAGTACCGTAGGTCTCTCGCGTTCCAGCACTCAGCACCTCCATGCTCCCTCCATGATTCCCAAAGGAATTAAAGACAAGGTTTCATTGGCAAATCGCATTAATTCCAACTGCTGTGGGCTGAACTGTATCCCCCCAAAATATGTTGAAACTCTAACCCCAATGTGATGGCATTTGGAGACGGGACCTTTGGGAGGTGATTAGATTTAGATGAAGTCGTGAGGGTGGGGCCCTTAAGGTGGAATAAGTGCTCGTATAAGAGAAAGAAACACCAGAATTCTCTCTCTGCCATGTGAAGACAGAACAAGAAGGCAGCTGTTTGAAAGCCAGGAAGAGGGCCCTCACCAGCACCCTGATCTCAAGACTCCTGGCCTCCAGAATTGAGAAAAAATTTCTGTTGTTTAAGCCAACCAGTCTATGGTATTTTGTTATAGTAGCCTGAGCTAACTAAGATGCCAACCAAAATGAGAATTCTCTAGTCTCATCCCAATATAACCAAAAAAACAGGTAAAGACACCTGATGAGGTAGCATTCTCTATCAAGACTCTCCACTCCCGACCCAAACTGCTCCATTGCTCGTTTGATGCTCTTTCCAAAGGGCTACACTTTTGAAGACCAAGCACTGCTAAAGCTATTGCATTAAATACTCATATTGCAAATACTCAAATGCTAGAAGACTTCACACGTGGTACCAAAGGGTGGTGGTAGCAGCCCCCCCCCCTCCAACCAACCCACCTCCAGGCACTAAAATGGGTGACTCAGGCACACCAAGACATATCAACAACTATGTTTTGTTCAGAAAGACTCACTAATGTTTCAGTTAGGAAGTAATTTTGGTTGAGACTCATGACAGAATATAGAAATATTTCCTCAGGCTATTTTCCCATGGGATTTCTGCCTAAATGAGAATCTCATGGGACTCTTTATTAAACTATTATTCGTTTGCTTTTTTTTTTTAAAGTAGACATTTCAAAAAGCTGTTTCCCCCCCTCTAAAACTAGGCTCTAATTGTAGATTAGAGTGATGCATCAACTAGATTCTTTGAAATATTTCCTTAGAAAATTAAACATTCAGGAGGAGCTTACATGTTTTATAAAAGGGAACAGTCTAACATCGTATTTTTAAAAGAATCTGAATTACCAGGTCAGTTATTTCTCTGATACTTCTATCTTGGAAATTTCAAAACATAGTCTTTAAACTTAGTGGTTAAAAAAAAATGTCCATCTTATAGGGACAAATAAAGAAAAATAAGCAAAGTACTTGGCAACAGACTACAAAGGTCTCAAAGTCCAGAGCTCCACTTCTACAAAAAAGAGTGACATCCATGCCAAATTATCAAAGGCACCAAGTTTGGTTACAAAATGGAGAAAGGCAGTGTTAGTATTTTGTGATTGGAACTACCAAAGTTGCTCTGAAATGGAACCTGGACAACAAGTACAGTGGCAATAGGATGCGTAAGCTGAAAAGACGCCCTACATTTTAGAATCTGTGATTCCAAACACTAATCAATATTGCACTAGGTGCAACAGAGGACAAAGGGCTAGAAAAGGAAACTCTCCAAAGTACAAAATCTGGAGGGCCCTAAAATAGTACTAACCTTTAAAATTTATAAAAGATTAACACTTGTTCATCTTTCCAAAACTTTTAATAAAGAACTTCATTTGTACAAAACCCAGTCGCACCTGCGAGTACCCGCTGTCAGTATGCTCCTCACTCCTATCTGTCTATTGCAGGGGGCGGGAATAGGAGCTTTTACAGCTTTGGGAAAGCAAAATGTAGCTCCTTCTCATAAGTTTTAAGCCCGTGGCCTAGACATTCATAGCAGTCATTATAGAACTGAAGGGCAAGATAAACTAGACTTCCCAACCCATTTAAAAATAGAATCATCCAGTCATACACCATATATGTATCTCCCAGAGATCCAGTAACTTTTTCATAGTTACATGGAGACGTGGTCATTACGCCAGGAAATAAAACTCATGTCTCCTTACTCTCAGTCCAGTGCCCTTTTAATACACCATGTAGCCTCCCATTTGGTAATCAAAGTAGTAAATCAAGACCTAAATGAGCTGGAGTCTGCACAAGGAAAACCCGAGTCTCCTTAGTCCCAGGGTGAATCCCAACCTTGAAAAGCCTAATGAAGAATGCCTGGGAAAAGACTGCTAACAAAGCTAACAGAATACTTTATACTCAGTGGACTCTCTATTTCTCCATCACATCGGCCCCTCAAACTGTGCCTTTTCAAACTGTCCTGCCTCATGAGTGCAAAAACAATTGTGCTTTTATTCTCTTCCCCAAGAAAAGGTTAGGTCAAAAGGGAGGAAATAATCTTGTTTCTTTCTGTCAGAGTTTTGGCATAGTGGGACTATGCAGGAATGCACCCACTGTGGAATCTTCCCACACTCCTGAGTGAAGAGTAACCCGCAGAGGCATGTCCCATCCACTCCCCAAATATCTGAGCTGGCAACAACAAAAGATAGTCAGAGATCTTAGCCCTGGGACAATAGCTTCTGTCAGTCAACCACAGTTCTCACGACTCTGTGTTTCTGCTCTTACTTCAGCTTCATACCAAAGAGCCTATCACACCTGTACAGGTACTTGAGAAAACCACGCAAATGAATTCACACAGCAGTATAGCCGGTTTTGGCAGAGCACCAATACTAACGATAAAGTATAAATTTTTTAAAAATTCAAAGACCTTACACAAGCATATTACTCTTAGAATGTATACAGCATATTTGACAAAGAACCTCGGGCCCCATTAAACTGTCCTTGAGACGAACACCAAAAAGGATTAGGTAGTGTCTATGCACCTGGTAAGTAGGCAAAGATGAGCATTTTCTCTTACCTGAAGCCAAAGGTCGGATCCACTCTTTGCTATTCAGGTCAAGTCTCCAGAGGTCATTGAAGGCAGCATTGCAGCTGCTTTGGGTACAGCCTCCAAACACATACATAGACTGATTAGCATCATAATAGCATGCACCTAGAAAGAAAAGCAAGCAATAAATAAATAACTGATGTTTAATTTTGAAGCCCCTCTAATATAGTCCCTATCTTTCAAAGATCAATTAGTTCACATATTTTGCAACTCTGTTGCCAGGTACCAACTTTCTATAACCAGCCTCTTGTCTTCAGGTTGGTCAGTATCACATTAACCTTTAAAATAAGGCCCCGACAAAAGCAAGGGAAATGTAAGGAATAACACTAAGCACAGTGATAACAATGTTATTAAATAAAACAGTATAATTCCAGCAAGAGAACCGAAGAATTCACATTAGGGTGCTCAATGAGTAGACTTGCAGCATGCTGCATAACTGCCCTCAATGTGCATCATTACCCTTCAGGGCTAGGGAAAGGCAGTGCTAACAGATGTATTCTGCCTTCCCATTTCTCTCCTCTAGTCCTTCTCTTATTGTTTTTATTTTCAAATGAAACCTGAAGCACAAACCAACAGACAAATTTTTATATAAATGAGAATGATAGAAAACAATTTTAATCAATGCCATGAAGTAACCACACACACAAAGACCAATGTAGTAGCCCAGGGATTGTAGAAATAGTGTGGTCCCAAAACAACTGAGAGAAAAAGCATGAAAGTTGTTAAGCCCCTAGGTGTATCCAAAAGCCACCAAGGCAAGGAAATGCTACTGCTACGCAGAAAACTAGTGCAGTAAGTAACATTTAAACTGAACCAAGGTCTCTAAGAAGAACCTTTTAAATTAGATTATATACACCTCACCGATGGGCACCATTCCGAAGAAAAGAGGCAATGATTGTAGGGGGGCTATTCCCCTAAAACCAGAAAAGACCAGAGCCAGAGTCTAGACGAGAGGCTTAAGAGCTAAGCTCTTCTGTTTTGTTTCTCACTGAAAGCTCACTTTAGTCTCTATCCTTTGGAAAAGATGACCACACTCCTTACAGTCCTGCATTTATCATCTTGGATCCCAGGAAGAAGACCGAGCAAAAATTCCCCTTCCATTCATTCCATGCATAGTGGTGGAAAAAAAGACCTCTCAATGTTCATGTTAAAACTAGGCCCCAACAGTTAAGGGTCATATAAAAGGAAAGGGAAAGGGGAAGGGACAGGAAAAGGGACAGGGACAGGGAAACGAAACTCAGAGATTGAACCCACTAGTGCAGGGTTTCAGCGATCATTCAGCTTACTCGTACGTCTAGTTCGGTTTAGCACACCACTGCTGTTAAGAGCTCTTCGGAACTCTGGCACCACTTAATTCAAGTTCAGAAAAAAGGAAATGCTACTGCTATTATTATCTCTGTGATATACACTAGCTCTGGGAATGACCACTTACCTCAGCCCACCCAATAGGCCCTTTCATGAACCTCTACACTAGGAAGGCCATGTCAGAAAACTGGGGGAGTTAAGAGGTAATAAAAGCAGTGTGTTTTGTCACTCTACCCAGTAACCTCAGTCAGTGGAAGGATTAAATTCAAATCATCAGGCCTCTGACACTGTATAATAATGGAGCTGCAGACTTTTCAAATGAAAGAATTAAAGAGACTAGAGATGTAAACAAATGAAATACCATCTAATCATCTATAAGTTCACACCTACAAAACAATTAATGTATTCCCAGAACTCAAACATACAATGGTACGTGAAGATTTGAATTACCTTACACCTTCCAATGACTATCTTTGCCTTTGAAAATAACTTCTAATCTATATCTAAATCAGTTTTTTAATCCACATCCCAACAAGAAGGTCTATTAAGAAGTGAAATCCGGGCCAGCCAAGTGGCGCGACGGTTAAGAGCTGGCTTGGGACGCCAGAGGACCTCGGTTCGGATCCCACATATGAGGGCCAGTGACGCTGCCCTCTACAGCTAAGTTGCTGAACAACAGCTCAACCTGGAGCTGGGCTGCCGTGAGGCGACGGCGTAGGCTGCAGCCCCTGCGGCAGTGGGTTGCCATGGGCTACCGTGTGTAGCCAGCAGCCAGCGTGAGAGTGACTGCCTCACCCAGGAAGAGCACAATAATACCAACTTGGGCCAGTCAAGCAATGTCCTCCACAACTAGACTGAAGAACAAAACGACAGCAACTTGTCTGTTCCCCTTCCCCCAATTCCCCAGCACTGTTCCCATCCCCCCAATTCCCCAATAAAAATCTTAAAAAAAAGGATAGAACATTTAAAAAAAAAAAAAGAAGTGAAATCCTATGACGATCCATTGCTCATATATCAATATTAAGAACTACAAATAACGAAAGATCAAATTAGATGACATTAGACAAAAACGATAATTACTGGAACCACGCTTTAATCTCCACTAAAGGAGCTGAGCTTCAGATATTTTAGTCTTCTCATACCTTTCTTGAACTAGCTACTCCAACAATTGGGACAATTTTGGACTGAACTGACTGGTACCAGCACAAAAGAACATTCTGTCCCTCTTGATAACCCGTATCTCCAGGACAGAAATTAACAATGTCCTATGGCTTCCGAAACCTTAATTTGTGTCCATTATAACAATGTTTAATAAGACAAATCCATGATTTAATAACTGAAAGAATCAAGGGCTCATTTATGTCTCTCTCTTCTTCAAAGATCAACTCTTGGCAGCTGCTTCCTTCGTGTAGCAAAAGAGCACAGTTGCCTTTATTTATCAAAGAGGTAGCAAACATTCTTCTTCTCTATTTGGGTTGAAAACCCAGCCAGCAGCTGGGCCCCATGAGGTTCTGACCACATGTATTTTAATCCTATACTAAAATAAGGCAATCGACATGTTCCTGCTTCTCTTTGAGCAAACAAAGGTTTCTGGAAGAGAAAGGCACAGCCCAAACTACGCAAAGATGCTAGGGCTGAAATGACAAGTTTCACACACTATTTTCAACGTCCAGCAGTCGATTATCAACGAAGCTCAGAGAGGAAGGGAGTCAATTTAGGCAGCTATATTTAGAACTCAGATATAATGGAATGAGAAAATGGTCATCAATAATACTCTCAAATATTTTAGGCATTCTATTGAACTTTGTTTATTGTCTATTTTTATTTAAGACACTCACATGCTGGTCTGGGTGGGGGTAGGGGAACCGGACAAGTTCAATGGGCCTTTTAAAAAAAATTAAGAATTTAAGCAAATACCAGCACTCAAGTAGTCATTTCCCTTTTACCAAAGTTCTCCACCCAAGCAGAGTATTTTCCTTTCAGAATATCTAGACTATTGGAATGTGCTGTACGAAAGTTATAGTTCATAGTACAGTATGAATAGTCTGCTAGGAAATAACATTAAGAATGTTTATTCCAATTGTTCAGTCTCTTCAATTTTCAGAAATGGGTTTGATCGCTCAATGAACAATTATTGCAAGACACATACTTCAAGTTAATATCTAATAACCCCCATTGAACGAGAAGTCAAACATTCACAATTACACACACAGTAAGCAAACGGTTCGTCGGCATTCCAAACATTTTCCTACTATATTACAATCCTCAAGTGCAAGGTCTTCCAGTTGTTTCCTGTTTTCCATGGTGCCTGGTAGTCTCTCAATAACTGTCCACTGAACTCCAGCTTCTGTACGTTCGGATGCTAAATTCTCTCGTTTCCCCACTTGTCTCCAGGGAAAGGTCCTGAGGCATTTATCCCATGCTTAAAGAGACTATGCCTCACATCTACAAGCCAGGACACATTTGATAAGGACTGTAATTACATAACTATGGAACAGGCAAGGTTGGTTATCCAGTCTGGGCCTGCTGGCTATTGCCAGGAACACGATTAGCATGTGTGTGGAATGACCTGACCACATTTGGAGCCTAAACACTAAAATCTTTTTCAAAACATGATGCTGGAGATTCAACAGACCCCTACGTCAATCTGAAAAGGACATCCTACATTAATGAAGGCATGCGTGACTGGTCATGCACACACTCACCAAAAAACCACAAGAACTGGCTTCATGCTACTTCCCCTTCCTTTTTGGTCCCAGACTTTTACATAGGAGAGAAGCTGTACTGCTCATATTTTTGTTACATTTAATTCCACAGAATTTAACAGATTATCAACTATGAATCAGGTGTTGTCAAGGGTGCACAGATGTCTCAAGGCACAGATCCTACCTGTCCTCAAATAGACAACAATTTTGTGGAGGAGCATCAGAGAAGCCTCTTTAAAAAAATCTGTGATACCTTTTCTTGGATTTCAAGTGGAGATTTGAAAAAAAAATTTAAGTAAAAAGAAGTATCAAAACCCAACAATCTCTGAATTCTCATTCTCCCCTCTGTATGAGGACACAGCAAGAAGGTGGCTGTCTGCAACCCAGGAAAAGAGCCCTGATCAGGCAACCAACCCACCCACCCACCCACCCACCCACCTTGATCTTGAAATTCCAGCTTCCATAGCTGTGAGAAATAAATTTGTTGTTTAAGCCAAAAAACACAAACAAAAACAAAGAAACACCCACCAATCTCTGAACTTCTGTAGGCTTCCTGCCCACACTATTCTTTTCTGTTTCCCCTTCAAACAACTGCCTCTACTTTGTGGTAATACTCTTTTCAAAAGCTGGTTAACTGAAAAATATTCCCCCCTTCCCTCCCCATCAGAAAGCTGTACTGTTGTTATGATAATTATTCACCTCTGAATTCTGGTTTTTATTTTACCAAGATTCATTTGATTTCCCTCACTTAGGGTTCTAAAACTAGTTTTTCAAAAAACTGTCTTAAAAAAGACAGTCTTCAAGCTTTAGAACCCTCGTCTCTATTTCTTATTCCAATTATCTGTAGGTAACTGAAGTTACCGCTCCCTTGGCTATAAATACTGGACCTAACATGGATCCTCCTGCAATTTCATTAAATATTTTCAGCAAGGATTCATTTTATAGTCTATTGCGGTGATTTTCAGTGTGGTCTGTGGACTCCTGAAACATTCGAGACCCTTTAACAACAATTTTAATAAGAAGAAGGTGGAGGAGAGACACAGGGGAGGAAGTAGACGTAAATGCCCTTTTCACTGTGTTGGCATCTGCCCTAATGGTGCAGAAGCAATGCCGGGTACACCTGGGGAAGCCCAGCAGCATGAATGAAGGCCGGGCCCTCAACGACTCTAATGATCACTGCCACACTGACAGTTTAAAACAAACAACGTTGTGACTTTCCAGATCCTCAAAAGAGTCTCACAGACGCCCTCGGCCCCAGAGGTCCAGGAATCACACTTTTGAGATACACTGCTCTAGGGAGTTTACAACAGCACAAGTGAAAATAGCTCCTTGGGAGAACTAAAAACATAGCAACAGTTTGGCCTATTCCTTTGATCTATTTAGATCCAATTCAAAGATAGTGAGTTGTAATTACTTACTGAACTGTCTTCTGGGTACAGAGTATAACACGTGATGTGGGGTAGCCAGCCTTCAAGATGGCCGGCCTCTAATGATCCTCCTTTTTGGCATTTACACCTTGGCTCAATCTCTATGTGACCAATAGAACACAGCAGAGATGGTGGTATTCACCTCAGAGATGAGGTTGTAAAAGACACCATGGCTTCTGTCTTGCTGTCTGCCTGCCTCTGTCTCTCTCTCAGCTCATTTATTCTGTGGGAAACCAGCTGCCAAGTCATGAGCAGCTCTATGAAGTCCATGATAGTAAGGAACTCCTCCTGTCAACAGCCTGGAAGCTGATCCCCGAGGCCCCCGTCAAGCCTTCAAGTGACTACAGCCCTGGCTGTCAGACTGACAGCGACCTCGTGACAGACCCTGACCCAGAACTTCCTAGCTGAGCCACTCCAAATTCCTTGACCCTCAGGAACGATGTGAGATAATAAATGTTGTTTTAAACTGCTAAGTTTGTTGTTTTAAACTTTTTATGCAACACGGATAAATTAAAAAATATAGTTAAAAAAAAAAAAGGACACATACATGTAAGCTAACAATGAAAGACATTGTGAGTTAAATGCCAAATTAGTATTTCAGACAACAGTGTAAGCCCAGAAAAGGAAACTTTTTTCTGTGGGCTACGGAGTTGAGAGAAGGTTTCATGAAGGAACTAGAACTTCAACTGAGTCTTCAAGGAGAGGCAGGTTTCTGATAAGTAGATGGGAATACTCCAGGGAGGAAGAAACAAGTACAGCAAAGTGATAGCTTGAAAGAGGAGGCTCTTGGGAAAAGTTGGGAGATGAAGTGGTAAATTTAGACATAGGTCAAATTAAAGAGGGCTTTGAATATAAGATTAAGTTTAGCTTTTATCTTGTAGGCAACGGACAGGCACCGAAGGTTTTTGAACAGAGAAGTAATATAATTAAAGCAGTAATTATGAGAACTTTTTAAGAGGTCCCCTCTCCCCTCAATGAGCTTTCTTTATGCAGAACCATTAACAAGTACACCTTTACTGGCCTAAGATATCCCAGCTCTCAATCTCACTTTGATGGAGGGATACAAATCATTAATAGAATAAAATGTGTCTACAAAAATCAATTAAAATGGAGAGTTAGTTCTAGAATAATTTAAAAACTCTAAATTACGTCTATTTGCCAGGACACTTTATTTATAATTTTACTATTTAATTTGTATTTTATAGTCAATAACCTTCACATTCAAAAATTGTGTGACCCCAGTCAAACTCAGTCTTTGCTGAACACGCTAACATAGTTACTGTAAGACTTTGTGCTAAGCTCTGGCTACTCCCTAAGCAGGGTCTCAGAAAATACCCTTACACATGTCTTTCATCTGTTTTCCTTACACGATGTCAGACGTTCTAAAAAGTTTAAGCATAACACCTTGACCCCTTCGGAGTAGAGATACAAGAAAAATTCAATAAAAAAGCAGAATATAAAATTATACCAAAGTGCCTACAATGTATTTAGTCTCATGCTCTTCACCAATTCTGACTGTAAAATTAATGTAAATCCTCATTTTACATTCTCTTCATTAAAAAGTCAGACAATAGGGAATATAGTCAATGGTATTCTAATAGCTCTGCATGATGTCAGATGCCTAGTAGACTAGATGGGGTTATCACTTTGTGAGGTTTGTAAACGTCTAATCATTATGTTGCTCTGTACATGTGAAAAAAAAAAAAAAAAAGAGAGAGAGAGTAGGGAAACAAAAGTCAGACAAAACACATGCCTCCAAAGCAGTTTTTAGAAACACGGGCAGGGTGAGATCTCCTTTCAGAGTAAATACTTACTGTGTGAGAATCGCTGAGTGATCGGGGTTCCAGGATAAGGGTAAGTCCGACTCTCCCACTGAATGTTTCCTTCCTGGACAGCCTTTATGAAACCATGGTAACACTGGTGGGCTACACCTAAAAACAAAAATAACCAATGCCTCAGCCTGGACACTTCACTTGTAAATCAAATTATTAAAACTACATCTATTTAATGTCTTATCATTTATAAGACATGTTTCTTTGAGAAACTCCACATTTATTTGATTTTTTTCATTCAAAGAAAGAAAACAGAATCACAGACTTGCAAAACTGGAAGATCAAATCCTTTCATTTACCAGGTTCAGGAAGTTTAAATGACTTGCTCAAGGCTACAAAATTAGCTCACACTCTAACTCTGTCCCCTTAATGTCATAACATGACACAACACATCAAAGTAACTGGTATTATTTACTCCAAAGCACAGAGGCTGGGGGACTATTTAGCTTTGTGAGACAGAGTATGGTAAAACAGTATCTGAAATATAACAGATGTTCAGTAAATATCTATCATTAGGACCACAGCAACCAAGCATTCTCCATCTTAAGCCAGGAGATACTATGGGCTCAGGGTGATACTGACATGTCAATGTAAGTTGTCAATTGTAACAAATGTACCATCTGGTGGAAAATGTTCATAGTAGGGGAGGCTGGGCATGTGTGGGGCACGGGGCATATGGAAATCCCTGAACCTTCTGCTCAATTTTGCTATAAAACTAAAACTGCTCTAAAAATTAAAGTCTGTTTTTAAAAAAAGGCGAGAGCGTCATGCGTCTGGAACAATCTATTTTTCTAACACATAAAATCTTATTCAAAAAGCAACACTTTGAATGAAGAGTACAACCAATTATGTTACATTTTAAAAGACCGTATCATTCTTGAATTTGTGCCACCTCAGTGGATCCATACGCAGGATCACTGTATTTACACGTCTCCCAATGATGATCACTATCCTTTGGTTGAACTCACAGTTAAAAATTGGAATATTAAAAAGACATGGCCGGGGCCGGCAAGTGGCACATTGGTTAAGAGCTGGCTTGGGACGCCAGAGGGCCCCGGTTCGGATCCCACATATGAGGGCCAGTGACACTGCCCTCTACAGCTAAGATGCTGAACAAAAGCTCAACTTGGAGCTGGGCTGCTGTGAGTCGCTGGCAACGGTGTAGGCTGCAGCCCCTTTGCAGAGGGTTGCCATGGGCTACCGTGTGAAGCCAGCAGCCAGCGTGAGCGGCCCTCAAGCCGCCGTGAGCGGCCATCCAGAGGCCGGCGACTGATCTGCCTCGGTCGGGAAGAGCGCAATGATGGTGCCATCTTGGGCCAGTGAAGCAACGTCCTCCACAACTAGACTGAAGAACAAAAGGACAGCAACTTGTCTGTTCCTCTTCCCCAATTCTTCAGTGCTGTTTCCATCCCCCAATTCCCCAATAAAAATATTTAAAAAAAAAAAGACATGGCCATTTTTAATATGTGACAGCACTGCCAACTATATACTGGTGAAGTAAATAACACAGATTTGCAAATGTTGAATTAAGGTAAGGTGGTAATGAATAAAATACAGACACATAACAATTGAGAGGGAAAAAAAAAAAAGTTGTCTTGGCAGTGACTTTGCCCAGAAGATCTAAAACTATTGAGTACCAGGTTACAGTTCTTTTCTCCTAAAAAAAAGACCAAAGTGGGCTGGCTAGGTGGTTCAGTTGGTTAGAGCGCGAGCTCTGAGCAACAGGGTTGCAGGTTCGATTCCCGTATGTGCCACTGAACTGCGCCCTCTGCAACTAGATTGAAGACAACAACTTGAGCTGAGCTGCCGCTGAGCTGCCGATGGGCAGCGGGATGGCTCAGTTGGTTAGAGCGCGTGCTCTTAACAACAAGGTTGCTGGTTCGACTCCCGCATGGGATGGTGGGGCTGTGCAGCCCGCAACTAGATTGAAAATGGCAACTGGACTTGGAGCTGATGGGTCCTGGGAAAAACATACTGTTCCCTAATAAAGTTAAAAAAAAGACCACAATAATATGAATGCCGAATGAAGCCTAAGAATAAATTCATGTATGTGATTAGATCACAGCCCCTTGTCTGTGATTCTTCCACTTCCATCTTAGAGGCGGAGCCATTTATTTTCACAGTGTAAGGAGCCAATCTCTTCTGAAGAGTCCTCTGCCAACAGAAGCAGGCCGTGCATACCAGTCTTACCAGTTGTGAGCAGGTGAGTGTAGGTAGGGCTCAGTAAACAGTTTCAACACAGCTGGTCCTTAGCCCTCCAGGTTGGACTTTGGGTAATTGACAAGGACCGCCTGCCTGCCCCATGAGAACCACCCTGATTCAAGGAAAAGATTTTAAGACTGATTCTTATCTAAGGGTTTTCCTCTCTCCTATCTCTGGCTGCCTTGTTCCCACCAGGAAAGAACAAATTGATATAACTCTTGCTTTGATCAAAGATTATTCAACTGGCCTGGTCCTTTAAAAAAAAAAAAGGGCCCTTTCCACCTAAAATGGAATGAAGCCAAATAAATGCTATCTATTAATTATAAATGCAACACAGCTAGAAACCTCAACATTTAGCTAAAGTTGAAATCTCGATTAGAAAATAGAGGGACAAAAAAGGAGAAACTCATTTTAAAAAGTAAAAGATATGCATAAGGCCTGTGCTGTTTAGAGATAAAATCAAGGGGTAAATGGTCTCACAATTGCACATTTGCCAGTCAGATACTTGAAGAGACACTAGGGTGTCCTCATAAAGAACATGGGCTTTAGAGGCAGATGGCCTGACTGTGATTCTCTGACCCTCCACTTAAGACTTGTGTGGCTAAGTTATCCACCTGTGCCTTACTCAGTTCTCGGTTTCTTCACCTATTATAGCTTGCTGAAAGGATTATAAAGCAGTTATAATAGTGCCTGACAATGGAAAGAGGTATGTTAACGTTAGCTATTGCTGTTATCCCATAGCCATCCATACTCTGCCTATTCAGGAACAATACAATTTACCAGATCAACTCTAAGAACATGCAGAAAAGAATTCTCACCTTAAAACTGCAAATTGATTGAATACGATAGTATTCAAGCTGTTCATAAAATTAACCAGGATAAAGAGCAAAGGAAAATGTACAATGTTAACTGTCTGACATGAAATTTGAGAACGACAAAAAATTTAAGGGAGAAGAGAAAAAATAAAATTGGGAGTTTAAAAATAGATTTATTCAAACGAATTTTAAATAAATAAATAAACCTTCCCACTTTCCACAGTACCTTTGATAAGTCGATACCACTGTTTGCAGACAAGGGCTGCCGTTTTGTGCTCCTGGTATGGTGAAAGAAAGGACAGGATATATTCCAAAACTTCTTCTGGCAGCTCAGACATGGACCGATTATGTCTAATCTCCTCAACCTCCAATACTGGGTGAGGCTCCTCATCTTGCTCCATTGTCCCTTCCAGCACAGTTTCTTCTTGGTCCACAGCCATGAAACTGTCATCTTCACTGTCTGAGGAGCTGGCCATGACATTCCACTCGACAGCTAGAGTGGGAAAGAAACAGACATCAGTATACACTGCTAGAAGCTCTGCAACAGCTCAGGCCCGTGCACCCAAGTTGTTCGCAATTTCTTTTAGACCTTCAATACGAAATCTGTTCTTTAGCACTTTCCCACACTAGTCAAGAGCCACCTTCATTTGATAGGTGCAGCTCAAGTACCAAGCCCATCCCAAATATTTAAAAATCCCTAAAGGTTTCTGATTGTATTTTTTTCTCTCCACTGAAAACCAGAATGGTAGCCAAGTTCAGGTATAACCAGGAAACTTATTCTCTAACAATGCCCCTGACGCAAGGATCTGACTGGCAGGCGGCAAAGGGAAGGGCAATTAGCCTCCCTTGGCCAGTAAGATAATTCAAGGCCTCACACTTAGAAGAAAACACTAACTGTGGGGGCTACGAAGAGTGATAAGAATATTCTGAGGATGTAGTTTTAGAAATAAAAGTTTTTCTAGTTTTTCCACAATTCACTTGAGAGGACAGTAAATGCTCCAAGAATAGGCTTCACTAGCTAGAATACCAAATACAAGGCAATATTTATACTAGAAAGGTAACAGATACAGGAAGTAAAACACTGAAAACAATTTTAATACAAATGTCCATCAACAATAGAACAGATAAACTGTTAACACTGTCACACAATGGAATACTATACAGCAAGGAGCCACAGATACACACATGGATAAATATCTCAAACATAGTACCAAGCATAACAAGTCAGACAAGTACATACCTCATGACCATGCTTATATCAAATTCAATTTATACTGTTGCAAGTGAGGCTAGGGAGGCTCCTGGGATGCTGGGTAATGGTTACACAGATGTGTTCCATTTGTGAAAAATTCACCAAGCTGAATACTTAATGCTTAATGTAATTCTCTAAAGTTTACAAAATAAGCCATTATCAACAGTTAACCTCTAATGGAGGTAATGAATTTTTAAAAATTATTATGGGTGATTTTCAAATTTCTTCTCTGTGCTATCTGTATTTCCTAAAAGTTCTAGAAAGAGTACAATATGCTAAAACACACACACACACAGAGGCAGGCAACACGTTTACACCACTCCTATTTTATGCAATGCCTGAGGTAAAAAGAGTAAAATGAAGGAAATAGGGTGGTTTACGTAAGAAGTGTGTCACAGGTTAGGTCCACCAGGAAGCAGATGCTAAATTAGAAATAGGAACGAAAAGTTTAATGGCGAGAACTCTTGTGAGAAGAGGAGGAAGCAGTATTGAGCGGGAGGAGCCATTAGACTGCGATGCAGACCTGACGACTGCCCCACAGAAGGCTCAGGAGCAAGGGCGGCCAGTGAGAAGCCTCTAGTGTCAGGTGAGAACGGGGGCTCTTCTATCGCTCTGCTCAGCCAGTAGGGCTGAGGGCTGCTCTGAGAAGACTGTGATGTTGGCTACAAAGCTGAGGCAGACGCTGAAAGGACTTAACGGCTTTCTTTAGATACATTCCTTACAGATGGGCAGTAAGTCCTTTCTTGAAGGGTCATGAGTTCATTTTACTATTTCCCCCCACTCTGAGCCGTTCTCAGTTTAGTTGTGAAGGATGCCGCTTCACTGGTCCATGTTGGTATTATGATCATTGCACTCTTCCCTGCTGAGGCACATCAGTCGCCAGTGGTCAGACGGCCGCTCATGGAGGCTCACGGCAGCTCTCGCCCGTTGTTGGCCACTCACACTTGCTACCAGCCATGGCTCTCGGCAACCCACAGCAGCTCACACCGGCCGCTGGCCACTCACGGCAGCCCAGCTCCAGTTTGAGCTGTTGTTCACGATCTTAGCTGTAGAGGGCGCAGCTTACTGGCCCATGTGGGAATCGAACTGGCAGCCTTATTGTTCAGAGCTTGCACTCTTGCCAACTGAGCTATCCGGCCGCCATTTTATTATTTTTTAATATATCTATTCCCCTTAATCACATGACCTACCCAGACCATTCATTATGCCATCCACCTTACAAATTTCTAGCACTGAGGAGAAGAGTAAGAAATAATAGGAAGCAAAAAGTAATTGTGAAATATACTTTGGGGTGTTACGAAAGATATGAAATGTTCCAAAAGGTGAGGAGGTTGGGGAGAGCAAAGAACAGAAACCGCCCACCTCATCTCTACCACTCCTGGAATTCATATACAAATGATGTACATCTTAAAAACAGGGAGAATGATCACATTCAGGAAAATGAAAACGTGAATCAAAACTCATGAAATTGCTTCCAAGATAACTGATCCACCAAATTAGCTCATGATACTGCCATGTGTCCCAGCGAAGTGCCTGCTAGAATCCTGATGATGATGATGGCTTGCTGGAGTAGTGGAGGAGCCTAAATCCTCCTCGCTGGGAGGGGGGGGGGGCTGGCAAAGGAAGGACAGCGGCAATTCCCTCCATTCCCCAAAAATAGAGAAGTTGCTGTAACAGGCTTACTGTAAACCATATTAGATGAAGCATTCTAGATTCCTAGATAGTTAGCCCCTAGGCCCTACACTGGGTGAGCTGTTTTAGCTCGCGCTTAACTTGCTAGAGGGAAGCCTTTCCATTTCCAGCCCTAACTCCTATCCTAAAGATTAGAGTCATGTAAAATATGAAACAAAAATTAGATTTTTTTCTGACCAAAAAAAAAAAAAGGCTGCCTTTTTCTACTGGAAAAAAATATCACTTCCCATGTTCCTTCTTATTCGTTCCCCTGAAAGTTATCATTTCTCATCTCCCATTGGCTATATCTTCCCTAATTTATTGACTTTCTTATATTTTTAACCCCCAATCAACCCTGAAATTCACCAATGAAAAGAGTCCAAAGAAACCGATTCCTTGAGCTTGGCTGCATTTTCCCCGTTTGAATTAAACACAGCACCTCAGATACAGCTGTTCCCTTAAACAACATCTTGACAGACTGTGAGCCTAGGGTCTGCTTCAGGACAAATGGAACTGATGAAGGCTGCAGAAGGTTATTTATATTACTATTTTTTTCTAAGCAAAATAGATCTGTTTGGCTCAATAAGACAGTGTACTCCCCTTTCCAAATCCCAAAGTACAATTAGCAAGCCTACGTGTAAATAAAGGGACTCACACTTTTGTGATGCCCGTTTTTAAGCATTCTCACCATTCAGCCATTTCACCAGCCGTCCACAACAGCATCGAATCCCAGGCTCCTGAGGGCATGTCTGCTAACTTGGCCCTGAGCACAGATGCCAATGAGAACACACACGGATGGGCTCAGATGCAATTCCTCTGTAATTACATGCCTGGCATCAATTTGCACAGCCCTTCATTTTCACTTCCATGATTAGGTAATGAAATCATCACTCATAGTCCCAGAGGACATGGAGGCATTCTGAAACAGTTTTTCATTTTTTCGTGCCAAAAGAAGCCCTATAAAACATTTCACATGTAAGTACGTTAACGTAATGAATGTGGTTCTCATGAAAGTCTGAGAAATCTTCCTCACCCTTCACACTTGTGTTAGGCCTTCTCAAGTTCCCTGAAGCAATCGAGGCTTCGGGAGAAACCACAATCTGAAATCAACTTACGGGAATCTGAGCTCCTTAAGGGCAGAGACCATTTGCCTAAGCGCCTTGTCTTCCTAGCACTAGACATTCAAATAAACCAAGGATTATTGACATTTCTACTCACAACACCCTTGAGCTGACTTCACATTATTTTATAATAGAAATTACATCATTAGTACATCCAGGAAATAGCAGACCCTACTCTTATATGTCACTGGAAGCTGTCAAGATATTTTATTGGTCAGAACGAATATACCTCTCTGGTTCCTTGAATTTTGACCTTTTAACGTGTACACTGGCCTGAGAGTCTGCTGCCAGATTCCTAACCCATACCCACTGACCGTTTGCGAATTAAAGAGGAATGGTACTGAAGAAACCATTTATTAGGCCCAGTAGCATCTTTTCCTTTGAGAAGCTACTATACTACATCCAACTAAATTTAAACCAGTTTTTAAAAGCTTTCTGAAGTATAAATTAACGTTAAAATTTTGAGATCAGGAGATCTGGCTACTGTTTCTAGCTATGATGTTGTGTGGCCTAAGGTAAGTAAGAGTAAGACAGGGAAACCTCTCTATCTGTAAGTAATGAAAGTTCCCTACTTCATAAAGGTTCTGTAAAAAGAGCAGATATCAACAAACTACTCTGAACTCAGAGGAAATCGATTAACTTGTGAAGAGTTAAAATCGATTCGGAGAAATTCAAGATGGGAATGAAACTAGTTTGTGATCCATGTAAAAAGTAATTGCCGATCCCAGTATAATGATTCATCGTGCCTGATTCCTATACAACTAGACACCTGACAATCCCCATGGAGTAAACACACCTTTATGAAAATTAGAATACGTTTCACTTACCTAAAAGGAAGCTGAAGATTTAAAATGCAATCAAGCTTATTCTTCACAACTTCAAAAGGTTAAAAAATGCAAATTAAGGGAACTTCTTACTGATAGTAAAATAAAGCACTAGACTTAATGAAAGAACGTGCAGCTGGATTGAACAGAAAGTGCCCAGGTAGCCCTCAGCATGAGGGCTTCTGCTTCAGGGGCAAAGCGGCAACCTCGCACAGCTGGCATTAGGAAGTCATGAAGTCGCCTACCTCAGCAGCACTAATGTGAGCTGAAAAGTACTGAATGCTGCTCCTGAAAATATAAATACTGTCGAACAAGGATTTACAGAAGACCACAATATGACTCAATCTAAGATGATAAACCTCCTTATTAATAGACCATTGTTACCATCGTTGTACTAAGTCAAATGAAAAATATATAGAAAGTGGAAAAATGGTAAAGTATACATTTCTACCTTACTTCAGGCATTCAACAAACATCAACCGAATACTGGTGATATGTGAAAATACTGTGCTTAGATCCCATGGGAGTTACAAAAAGAGGATGTGCCACTACTTCCTCTCAAAGAGATTAGCTCAGTAAGAGCCAAAGACCTAAATACAGAACACCAACACAGGACAGACCTGTG